TACTAAAAAACGGGCTAACATTTTTTATCTTAGCAGGGATAATGATAAATGTATTCTATCAGAGAACATAAATGTCATTTAATGCTATTCTATTGTTTTTTTCAAAAATTACCAAACAATTTTTCCCTTGTCTCTAAGGCATTAATATTTACATCGGCGGCGATTTGCTCACATTATTATATTTAAGAGTACATGTGCTTTAGATAATGTTAACTAACGTTTTTCGTGAACTGAACCGTTTTCTGTGAAAATGAGTTCGAATTTCCGGAATTTAAGAAACGCTCAAACAACATTTTCTCAAAAACTGCTCCAAATATTTTCTTCAAACTTTTCTAATGGATTTTGCTAATTGCACCGTTTAATATGACAAAGTTCTTTTCGTATATTGTTATATTTTTCAAAAAGTACATAAATGTATTTTTTAATAAGTCTCAAGCCGTTAATAAGCATATTTCCAGTGATTTGTTAATACTGTTGCATTTGTGAGTTAAAGTGATTTAAAAGATTTCTAATGAAGTTTTCGGAAAACAAGAATATTCTGTGAAAAAGAGCTTCTCATTTTGCATTAAAGCAAAGAAAATTCTTGTTTATTATAAAAATTCAATATGGAATGGAATGTAAATGGAATATAAATATGACATTGCTTACATGGATTAAATATTCATATTTTAAACATCGCAAAAAATCCATGAATATTTCTCCAAAATTTGCTTTCTAATTTTATTAGTCATAATTAAATGTTTTTGTTTATTACAATCAACAAAAACAATATAAAAATGTAGCTAATCTTCAAGAGAAATGGTAGATAAATTTTGTATGCGGAAACAAACAAGGGACTATCACATAATGTGCGCAATGAATGGAGGGAATCTGAATGAATCACCTAATGATATTAGTTCATTGGTCAAGAAGCAGAAAACAATAACCTTTAGTGGTGATAATTACTAAAAACGTATTAACTATATACTGAGCATTTACAAATATTTAACATTGTTTTCTGTATCGTTGAGATGTTACTTTGACTAACATATATAAAGTTATTAAAGAAATACTGCTCTTTCACTTTCTCACACAAGATCATTTTCTCTTGAAAACGTTAGGCATAAACTCACATAAGGAATAATCGCAATGTCACAATTAATGTCGTAAAGCTATTGGTATTTGAAAGCGATATAGGTTTCAAATTTTTCAAGAAAATAATAGTGATGTTATGGTTCTGCAACGCAAGTGCTTTAGAGAAGCTCTTCGAGCCGTTTCTTGCAAGTGACATGCAGGGTGCATGGAATTTGGAAATAAACAGGATTTAACGCGATTCCCTCCAAGCCGGGAGGGGGCGAACATAACGGGAACTTTGCTGCTCTCCAGCGCCCGCTTCACAGTCCCGTGATCGGCCTTGAGAGCCCCCTTTGCAGAACAGAGGTACGGGTGAAATTCGCCCGCGCACGTGCTGGGCGGGGTTTGCACCGGAGCCATCTGTGTCCGCACCATCAGGCGCTTTAGCACCACAATCCAAACACACGAGCTTTCTCTAATTCCTTCGGAACTCTCTAGCCAACAAGCTCTTCTTTTCGCTGTTCCTCGAGAATATCACATCTCTTCTGTATTAGGAAAATATGACGTACTCCGACACACTGATGCTCGCTCACTCTCCTCTCTCCATCATTCATGTCGCTCTTGTTACTAAACCTCCAGTCACTAAAATCCCCTCAACTATCACTAATTAGTCTGCCGAGGTTGTCCATATTATAACGATTTCATTGTTCTTTAATCGCATTAACGTCGTTCGTTACCCTCGATACTTTTAATTTCTCTACCGCAATAGCTCTTCTCACTTGCGGTCAGACATAAAATGTAAGGAATTCCATTTTTAAGGTATAAATTTCCTCGTTTCTCTATTCAAAACACTTTTTGCGTAATGTTCCATTAATACTCGCTTTTCCTAATTATTTCTCCGGTTTGTTTCTGTTTCTCCACAACCCTCCCACCTCCACATCGTATTTGAACCGGCGTTGAAACCTCTATTTCTCCCAGTTGAGACACCTCTTCATCGTCCGGGGCCGCCCACGCATATGACGTTAATCGTCTCCGACCGACGATGTACGCGCGCGCCGCGCCGTGGCGCTCACGTCGATGTGGAAGGGTTGACGCGCACGCGAGTTGCGAATGACGCGCTGATGGATTTTCACGGAAATCTACGAGCGGCCCCGCGCGGCGCCCCATGCATTTCCTGCCGACGAATTAATTCGAAAATTCGTCGCTGTGATACGTGTCCCCGTGACAGGCGATTTATTTCGGTCGCGACTTTTCTGTTCCTCCCCTCCTCTTCCCCCTTCTGGCTTCCCTGGCTCGGCGAAAGGGCAGTATATTTATGCTCTGCGCGGTGAAATGCGAGCTTATTCACGCCCGTTCAAATTGCGATTTGGAGATTTTTGGTTTTTTACGCTGCTAATTTAAAACGAATGAGTCTGTTTCTGATTGAATTGTGTGTCTACGTAAACGGTGAGTAAGATAGATGGTTACTAAACTTTTGGTAGATAGTGAGTGACTGTCTGAATGGTCAAAAATCAATTAATTTTTTCCTGCAGTGATATTCAGAGTATATATTTTTAGTGAATCAATTACGTACTATTCGATTTTTAGGTTTAATTTTAGTTTTTAATCTCACTAAATATTATTATTAATTTATTATTTCTAATGGACGAAGATATTTTTGATTAGAACTCCTGCTTCTACATGAAAATTATATGATGAGCATATATTTTTGATAAGGCCTATCAATTGAGCTAATTTGCTATTTTATTACGGTGGTCGGGATTTGTTTGTAGTTAAACATGAACTTATACGTTGGGATCGAATTATTGCCCTGACCCGTCTCACACAACAACACCACCCCACACAACCACACACATGATATGATATATATATATATAATATATTATATATATATAGGGGCTGTGTTTTCTTCCGTTTATTTTAAATACGTTTATATTTGTTTTTCTTAATTTGTAATTATGTTTTCGTTCATTTCCCTCTGTCAAGCAAGCGTACGTCCAAGTACTCATTATTGATTTATAAATAGACATCCAGGTCTCTACTTCGTTAAATGCTCTGAGTGCATGTAATTGGGATCATTTTGCACCGATTGTGTGAATGTGTAAATCCATTAATCGAAGAAGGACGATTACCTCATAGTAAGCGAGGAAGCCCTTGGCCTGCGTGTAGTTGCCGGGGCGGCCGCCGCCCGCGTCCTTGTTGATGTAGGTGCCCATCTCGTAGTTGTTGTTGCTGGCGGAGAGCGTGAAGGTGCGACCGTAGAAGGGCACGCCCACCACCAACTTGTCGGAGGGGCAGCCCATGTCCTGCCACAGCTGCAGGCCGTCGTTCTGGCGAACAGAGCACAACCTGCCGTTTGTAAACCAGCCCAGGAACCAGGATTTAATGAAGGCCTCTTTGGTCACTTCACCGCTTTTACCAGCTCATAAAAAATTAACGAGTTTTATAAATTGTTTAAATTGTTGATTTATAATTAGTATAACTAAATTATTTATAAAATTATGTTTTAAAGCTTTTACTTATCAGAAATTGTAATTCACAACAATTTTTTGTTATGGTTATGTAACTATTCTAAAATCAAATCGAACGAATTAAAAATTAGTGATGTGAGTAATTAAAGGGAGAAAACCCCTACCATTGACGTAATGAGAGAAGAGTGCTAGCAAGGGAAAATCAGCCTAACAAGTTTTTGTTGAAGTGATGCCTTTTCTGTATTTTTTATTATTGATTTAACATTCAGTTGTTAATTTTGACGTAATCTGTCTGACGTCTATGTAGTTTTTTCTCTGCAAATACTAATTCTGTATTACTGAATTAGGTATATTGTCAATCAACATTTCAGAAATATAGCAATTTAGCGTATTTTACCTTTGATTATATTGTACTAAAAACATGGTCCACTTATTAGAAAGAAGTGAACACTTTGCCTCAGTAAACTTTTGAGTTTGTGATGTCAATATGAACTTAACCTACAAAAAACTGTTAAAAATTGTGCAAGGACAACTTTTCTTGAATCCGTTTTCAAATTCCCGTCAAACCCAGAAGAGCATATACCCGCGGAAGCTGTAGCAAGGAATCTTAATTACAAATCACGCTCGAAATATGAAGAAGTTTTCTTGATACGAAAATATGTTTGATGCTGTCTGTCAAACAATCTAAATTAGAATTATGTTTATATTCTTTACTTGTTTGATTTATTTCTTTATTTCGTGTTTACTCCTTTTAAATTCTGAAGTAAGAATGTGTGAATTCAAAATTCCTTTGTTTTTTATTTTGTTAGATTATTTTACATCATTGTTATTTGTTGTATGTAACAACAATGTAAAATACATTAACAAGTATATCTTATGGGCGGACAGATCTTTTGACAGAAAAATATCGTTGCGTGTTAAATCTGCATTGAGCGTAGCACTCTTCAGTAAACGTGATAACAATTAAGATTCTTTCGATTCAAAATGTTTAATTTTACTCTCAACTGACAATTTGTTGTATTTCTACTTAATTTTAATGGGTATTTTTTTTACTTCAGTAGAGGAAATGAAAATTAATGTCTCTTTGAGGGCATTAACTGTCAAATGACTTGCTGTCATGGCTGTCATGGTGCAGGTATACACGGATTATCAGTTCGATGCACTATATGTAGACCCGTTTCTTTTAAATTTCTCGGCAGTTGCTCTGGACGCAGTGTCTACGAGCTGTAACTACGCTAATGACCGAACTGCTTCTCGGCTAGCTGCTGTTAAAGTGTTTTCCACGGGAGGTATGTTCCTGGATGCAAGGACGCAACCCTTCTTATGGACACCGTCCACAGTTAATATTGAGTTAGTCAGGATGTAAGATGAGCCCACATGAAGCAATTGTTCAGACCCAAGCTTCATAGACTGACAACTTTTGTGACGTAAGGTCGCAGTGCTTGCTTGCGGCCGGCCTTGCCCTGCCCGACCTACCACGTTGAGCTTCTCGTAGGCCCACTGGTCGTGCGGGCGCTTGTAGAGCGGCGAGTGCGTGTCTGCGAAGCCGGCCCAGTTGCCGCGCAGGTCGTACGCCATCACGTGGATGGCGTCGATGCGCTCGCACAGCTCGGGTACGTGGTAGCCCTCTTGCAGGCGGAACTTGGCCAGCGGCACCGCCATCGTGATCTCCCAGCCCTTGCCCGCCGCGTCGAACGCGCGCCGCAGCTCGTCCACGAAGAAGAAGAAGTTGTTCTTGTCGGAGAAGCTGCCGCCGCGGTCCGCCGCGCCCGGGTACTCCCAGTCCAGGTCGAAGCCGTCGAAGTTGTACCGGTGCATGTATTCTGCGAACAACAGCAAAATGAGCGTAAAACTGTACGATAACATGATATGCCGGTGAAGTGAGTATTGACGTTGTACACGTAGACTTGCTTTGATAACCAATTAAGAATTATGTTAAATGTACGATATTCGTATAGTAACATTTTATTCTCTTGTAAAAATGTTTACAATGAACCTTCAATTTTTGTTTAAATTTGAGTTCTTGTTTTGCGTAATGTGCCGGTATACTGCTGATAAAATTAGTAGGAAACCATAGATTATTAGAAAACGTGTGGGAACACTTTTCATTACGAAACTGAAGTAAGTTTTGGTTTAACCGGTAAGTAAGCTATTTGTTACTAGTAAAATTGACGAAGTGGCACATTTACATTAGCCAAATATTCTTTGCTTTCTTCCTTGCGGTAAATCAAAAGATGACAACGACACGCAAACATGCTCAACAATTAAAAGAGGGGAACACATCAACTTGAATTTCGCAGGATCATGCAACAGATCTCAACAATCATCTACTAAAATCTTAATTGTCATTTAAATAATAACTATAATATTTGGGGCTAATTATATTATGTTTCTGGGATACTTTCGCTCCAATAACTTTCGCTTTCAATAATATGAGTGACTGAAAACTTGGGTTGCGTTTGGGATATATAAAACTTCCTTAAAATGCAACTATATCCAGACAGTAGAATACATTGTGATTATCAATAAGTTTATAATTATGTTAATTATTGAATTTATCAAAATAAGCTTTGGTTCACGTGCACTTCAATGCACACGCTTCAATGCATGCTTCAATTTTGGTTCACGTGCACACGTTAAAGAGGAGATAGTAATTATTTATGTAATTGCAATCGCCTGTGACAAAATACTTGGACTTTGAAGTTTCGGTACTAAACATTGTTGATTTGTTCACCTCGCGCTGTTTCGCAAGAATGGTTGACACATTACATAACAAAAACAAATTGCTTAAATATCAGTCACTTTTATTACCAAAGTTTGGGCGAGTCCGGATATCATGTCTATCTGTACGAAATCACTGCCCAATACGGGCCATATCGCCCAGCGCGCCGTGGGCTTTACGAGGAATCGTAACGGGCGAGGGAAACGACATGGCGTTCGCCGCCCCACGCTGCAGAGCGCGCCCATCTCGCCGTTAATAGTCACCTCGTTCCGCCAACTATCGGCGCGCACCTGATCAAGTCTCCCGGTGACTGGCGGGCGCGAGCGAATTCAGCCCCCTGCACCACGGGGAACGAAATGTTTCGGCGAGCCCGGAGTTCGGTGGTATCATGACGATTGTTGGGTGATAAAATGGATATTTACGAATTCATTTATAACTTTATCAGACATTTTATCACAGTATGGGTTTAGATAATTTTCAAACAAGACCCTAGACTTCCTCTGATAACCGATTAAGAATTACGTTAAATGCACGATATTCGTATCGGAACATTTTATCCTCTTGGGAAAAAGTTTACAATGAACCTTAAATTTTCGTTTAAATTTGAGTTATTTTCTTGCGTAATCTGCCAGTATATTGCTGATAAAGTTAACAGGAGACTATAGATTATTAGAAAACTTATGAGAACTCTTTTCATTAAAAAACTGACATTTTTATTAATTGTGGATTATGGATTAAGGAACAGTTGTTCTAATAACTTATTATAACACCGATCACAGATTCGTTAAGCTATACTTCAGATAACTAAAGTATGTAAAATAACATTGAGTTGAATTTATCGCATTATTATAGAATTGAAGACGCTAACAGTGGCTAACAAATAAGTTTTATTTCTAATTCGATCAAAATATCAAATCTTTAATTAACGCGAGATGTGTCTAAAGTAGTAAAATTTATTCTTCAGTGTAAAACGTCCTTCAGATATTTAAACCTGATTATCCTTTTTCAACGTTAATTTTATGACTTTACTTACTTGAATTAGCGTCAATGACTATTTTTTCATTACATTCTATATTTTTCTACACATTTTCTCAAAAAAATTCTCAAAATCTACTTCCTGATGTATTTTTCTAGAGTCAATAAAATATTTTTATTTATTTTTTGTTTTAAAATGCATTTATTTTCGTAAAAGCTTGAGAATGGGCAGCAATTAAAATTAGTGGTTTTAAATATCTTGGGGGTCATTGTTAAACGAAACATAGAATCTGCAATTTTAATGTTACTATAATTCCTCAGGTTTAATGAAATATGTACGCTTTGAGATGTTTCTCGTGACATTCTGGTTCATTAAAAACTCTGATATCACTTTTAATATTACAAATGAAAATCTCTCCTTGAATAGTAAATATGCATGTTGTTGTGGTATGATAAAAGTTAAGTTTTGACTTCAATGAAAGAGAAGCGTTATTTTCCCTTTTAAATTAATTTTATTATTTTTCGGATACCTTTTTAAGTGCTTCATTACTCACATTTTTCTTTGAGAGGAATTGAATAGAAATGTGTCGACGTGCAAGTAAGTCATAAGGTCGTAAGTCAAGAGGCTGTAAATGAAAAAAAAATGTCAAGGGATCGGGGGGTCCTACGGCTTTTGCCGCATCCCACATTTCAGCCTCCAGTCAGTGCTGCTTATATGCCCAGAATCTAAGTTGCCCGTAGTCTCCTGCCGTTTACCGTATAGCAAGTTGGTTAAGAAAAACATTGTTTGGAATCCTTGAAACAAAAAAAGGCGTGACAAAATTCATCTCCAGAAGGTCCGGTCACATCATGACTTTATATTTGGAGTCGGAAAGAAACATCTTTCGGATTCATCATCCTATTTTTTAAGTTTGTATAATATGATATATTTAAGTTTTAGAAATTGTCTTCGGTAGGTGATAAGAATGATACTAGGTCCAGTGTTTCCATTCATCGTTGGCATTTTTAACAATATTTTACATTAATTAATAAAAGGTAATTAACTAAAATTGAGAATCAATAAATAATACAATAACGAATATACAAACAATGAAAATGAATTATTAGGTAACGAATTGTGAGGAAATGAATGAATACATTGAGATAAATGAATTAATGCACTGTGAGAAACGAATGAATACGCTGTGAGAAATTAATGACTGCATTGTGAGCTATGAATGAATGCTTTGTGAGAAATGAATGCAATGTCAGGAATGAATGAATGCATTATGGGAAGTGAATGAATTCACTGTGAGAAATAATGAATGCTCTATGAGAAATTAATTAATAATTAATTGCATTTTATTAATTAAATAATGAATGCGTTATGAGGAATGAATTAATTCTTTGCAAGGCATGATTGAATGGCAAGACTGAATGCACGAATGGTGAGGAATGAAAGGGATACGTACCGACGATTGACTTGATGAGCGAGCACCTGCGCGCGGGCACGCCCACCATCTGCGAGTACTTGCGCCCGCCTTCGCCCCAGCCGCCGATGGCCAGCTGCGTCTTCAGCCCCGGGTGCTTGTGCTTCAGCGCCGTAAAGTTGGCGAAGCCGCTCTCCTCGATGTCGTTCTGCGAGCATGCGAGACGCTCATTTTATTCGTGGTCATTTTGTTGTATTTGGGTCAATTGAGGGATATAATTTAGATATTTAAATTGCCTTTGTAGCATATTTGTACGAGTCTGGTAAAGAAAGTACTCGCCCTTAGGTTTGTAAATAATTTTCCATCAAAAATATCACGGCAATGTAATCATGGAATACCTTTTTTTAGGCTCATAGTAAGTTGCCATCTTAATTGCAACAGTGCTGACTGAAAATCTGAATCGTTAGACCTCTGTAATTTGAGCCTCTAGTTATTTATTGTATTCACGAAGTGAAAGTTTTCTTAAAATATCTTTTCAGAGGGGACGGAATTTTAAAACGGCTTTTCTTCAATTAACAGTGGCTTCATCTATTAACTGTATTTGGGTGCGATGAAGATAAATACAACAAATTATATGAATTGTGAATAGTTGAACAAAGAACGAATGGATATGAGAAGTTCTACGAAGATAAGTACACGGGTTGTTTCTAGCAAATTTTACATTTTGTTTCTCTCTCAAATTCGATCGACATTTATTATTTCTTGAGTGAAGAGCGTAAAATTCACGACTTGAACTTGCTAAGCTTAAAGCAAGTCACGAATGAGATTTGACGGTTTATGAAATACTTTGTGTAAAGTACGGTTTTAAAAAGTACGTTTCTTGCACTCACTTCGGGATCGATGACGAGGATCTCCCAGGTGACGTTGCTGACGCCGACGAAGCTGTAGATGAGGTGCGTGCACAGCTCCGCGGGGACGTCGTCGATGGCGTAGCGGCCGATGCCCGGCCGGTAGATGGCCCAGTTGCTGAAGTAGCACACCACGCGCCCGGGTTCTCCAGCCGCTGCGCAGCAAGCACGCGCAAATATGCTTAGAGAAATGAGTGACCTTTTAGAACCTACATTTGGTGCTATGTTGGCTGGCGGAGGTACGTTTGGTGCTATAAGGGCTGCTAGAAAGTGGCATTTCACGTACATCCTTGACGAAATGGCCAAAACCGTTTGGTGCTCTTCCCAGAAAGAGTTGTTTTTTTCGAAAAAAATATCCAATTAATACTAGGTCAGTGCGGCCATGAACGGATTAGTTACACTAAAGAGTATTTGTAATGAGTGTATTTTTTCTATGCGATCTTTATACTTCTGTATTGTTCAAAAATAGAAGTAACTAATACAGACCAGAACTAAAATTAAGGAATTTCAGTTTTTTATAGAAACTGTTTCTGAGGATTTCAGAAGGGGAAATTACGGATAAAATGAGATAAGCTTAAGGTCAGTGAAATGATTGCCCACTTATATTTGAAATACTTCTTAATTACTTAATTTGTTGTGAGAAGGTGTGGATGTCAGTTCAATATTGGGGAGATAAATATCTATGTAAAGTTCTTTAAATGTATTTATATTATTTCTAGCGCTCGTTTTTGAGGAGAGAGGATAGTCTATGAGTGTTACATCGATATGTTACACTAATGAAACTGAAAACAATGTAATTTATTAATAGAAAAATCGAAAATAATTAAACTAACAAAGTAAAGTAAGAAAAAATATTTTGTGAAGAAATACTATTAGGAAAAGGCTACACAATGAAAATTTACGGACACTACACACAACTATGAATGTCGAAAAGCCTGCGTTAGTACAGCAATATTTAGGAATATAATAGTAGGAGATCTGTAAAGTACTGGACATCATTCCCGATATTTTAATTCTTGCTATAGAATGGAGGACGAAAAAAGTGAACGAGCTCTTATGTGACAGCAGAGTGAGAATAAGGAAGAAATATGTTTTCAATCTCTCACAAAACCAACTTATTACACATAGTAAGCTCAGAGAAACACAATAATAGAATATTAAAAATGTATTAATATTATACGCAATCAAAGAGAAATTAATTAAAAATAACAACAGTAATTTGAATACAACGTGGATATGACAAAATTATCTGTATCTGTTCGTGCACTTAAGCTTATTATGAAAAAACTATTAAGACATTGTGCGAAAATACACACGAATGCAACATAAAAATGTTAAAATTAATTTTGTAACGTGTTCGCTTTGATTTCAGTATTCGTGTCGTCACATTGCGTGGTATAAATCATATATCAATCACAGAGTTTCCCCACGTGTGGGAAATGTGGTCATAAAATGTTAATCAACGAATACAACCGACTCCTCGAAACAAAGGAACGACGCTGCGCGAGGCGAAGCGGCGCTTGTTTAAACGCTACTCCGGTGAGTTGAGCCACCACCAAGTCAATTCTCCCCCGCGACCATATTTCACGCGAGACAGCCCTAAAAACTCTACGCCAGCCACTAAAACGCACTCTCCCACATCGAGCGGGAAGCGAGTCTCACTGCACGGCCCTTCAAACTCTTCCCTTGCGGCCGACCTGCGACGCCGAGGGAAAACTCACCGATTTTCAGATCACGAGGGTTGAACTAGGCGACGAATACACACGGATGCAACGTAAAAAGTACTTTTGCTTTAAGAAATTGTGGTTTGACGAATTAGCGTAGTACTTTTGTCAGTCTGGATATTGTTGTGAGTTGTTACCATGCACTAGGCGAAATGAAATGCACTGTGTACAAGTGTACGCACATTTTCAGAATTCATGGGAACGGAAAGCTTTCAAAACAATAGAATTTGGAATGTGTTTAGTGGAATAGAGGTGTATTTTCTTTCTCCAATCTTATAATTTGCATATTTACCCTGTCTGTAAAGCATGTAGAAAAACAAAGTATGTAACTAAGATTTAATAAATGCGCCGGGAATTTTCAGAATTTTCAGTAGATCTATGTAAATTTTTCACCGTGAAGTCGGTTTAAAAAGTTAACTTGCCGAATGTTGCGGCAGAACCAACGACTCAATCACTGCAGGATATTCGCTGCTTCGACAATTCTTACTGTTGTTATTCTTCTTCTTCTCGTCCTCCTCCTCGATCTTTTATTATTGTTGTTATTCTTATTACAGTTTAATATTTTTACAATTATTTTTTAGTTTTTAAGCGTTGCTATCCATTAATAATTTTGTAGTTATGTAGAATAAAAATAAAAGGTAATTGATTTTGTACGTTGACTTTCTTACAAATATTTTATTCTATTTTTTTCAAAGAACAACTGAAATGAGCGATCTCTTCTTGAAGCCAGCATCGAGTAATGAAAGTCTCCAATTTACGGAGCGTTTAGCCGCGGTGAGGCCGAGTACATTCACAAAGGAAAGGAGTATCTGTATTTAATGGCCGTGTCGCAACCGCACGAGACAGCGTGTCGGGAATGGTCGCTGTTGCACCACGCATGCACACACGCACTCATCCATACACACCCACACACTCAACTCACGTACATACACACATACGCGCGCACACCCAAAACAAGACAGATACACACCTCGGACATGCGCTCAGACATAGTCAGACTCGCACCGAGGCAGTGGCGCGGAGCACGTGCGTGCGTGGGCGGTGGAGGCGCGCCGGGCGGCACGTGTACACGTGCGCGCGTGGGCGCCGGGCGCGCCGCATGCAGCCGCAGGCGCGCGAGGGAAAGCGGGTGAGGAAACGCTCGTAAATTCGCTGCTGCGCCAGGGAACGGCAGCCTCGCGCGAGCAGGCAGCCTCACGCATGCGTCGACTCCTCGCCGGGGAAGCAAGTGGGCTTTGGGAGCCACGATCTTACATCTTACGTTTGGAAGAGTTCACATAATGTTTATACATTTTAAATAATTTTCAAAATATTTAGTTGTAAATATATAACAACAGCTCCAATGTAAAAAAGAACAAATAATTATTAAATATAAAATAAGACGATACACATTCTAATTTTCGTAGCATCCTACTGCCACAAAACACCTAAAATCACTATAAAGAAGGACAGTATTTTCAGAGCAAACTCGATCAAAATTTCATAAAAAACAATGGGGCCATTTTTTGAGAAAATATGTCTAAACAAAAATAGAAATTACCTAAAGATAGCTGAAAACACGAATGCAAATTAAACTCATTTTTGATTTTCGCACCGATATCTTAATACGATATCATTTACCGAGACTACAGCATTTAATGGAAGTTACATACTTTATAAAATAAGAACTTACATTTATAGTTTAATAATATTTATTATAATTAAATGTTACAGAACTATTTCGACGAAAAAGGTTGCTTTACTATTGAATATACTTCATTCTTTTTATTTTGCGAGGTTGTGATAGGTCGAATACGATCTCCTGAATAAGCCAGTTTGACGAACTAGGCAATTGTTATTTGCAGCATTAGTGCACTGAATTGGCGAGAACAATGTATGCCGCACTCCCCTCATTTGCCATGTGCTGTGCTACAGCGATGTGCTTTGCCGAAGTACCCCGTCAATGACCGTTGGTAATCGATCTATCAGGGGGATCAATTTACACCGGCTGAACCTAATCAAGCTCTTTGACCGGGGCCCTTGATTGCGACCTGTTGATTCCATAGAGCTGGGCTCACAGAGTAGCCATTCGAATTCTCTTATTTTAATTCAATGTGTAAAGCCTTGCAATGGCTGCAATGGACGTAGCAATTCGGATGCTGAATCTCTGTTTATAATCACACAAAATTGATCATAAAAGAGTTGTCCTTACATTTTAAACAATGCAAAGTTTTTGAATGACTGTTTTACATCATTATTTCATATTCACGTCTTCATTTAAAAAAAATTAACAAAGATATACCTACACCACTCCCATAGTGTAGCATAATTAGAGAGTGGTCAATAAATGATCTGAGTTTATTAGCATCATTTTATCAGTTTAGTTTCAAAGTCTACAAAAAATTTCTCATTATTAATAATTGATCAATCAAATATAGATTGAATTAAATGCAAAAAACTCTCCTACTACTTAATACAAAAAAAGGAAAAAAGGCGCGTAGCTTTACAAGAAAATGGAGTTATGAATCGCACGAACTAATTTTATTTTTAAAGCATAATATTCATAATAGAACCGATCGTATGATTCAATCTACCTCTGCATCTTTTAGAAAAATGTAATAATAAATTCTTCGAATTAATAAAAGTGTAATTTTTGGAGTAGCGCCAATATATACCACAACATATACCACAATAATATTCATGAATATTATGTTTCTATTCACGGAACTAATTTTGAATAATTAAGATGGTATGCTTAAGTTAATACAGCTGGTAAAGCATAAAGTTTGTATTGCGAAGAACTGAAGTAAGCTTGTTCGATTAATTAACTTTTTATACCGATTATAATTTTTACCGATTGTCATTCGTGATAAGGGAATCTACGTATATGTAAGACATAAATTCGAAAGTTGTGTTTGCTCTTAGAAAATTGAGTAATGCACTTAATAAACTCCTAACTAATTTTCGACACAGTTTACCCAGTCGAATACAGCCGCTGTCTACAGGAGCTGTCAACTCTTCTGACCGATAATTTTCCGTGGTATCTCCGATCAACACCAACCAGACGAAATGCCGGAGCAATACTCTCAACAAACGCGGCAAGGAACGCGCGCGATCTGTTATTCCTCGTCCTTGCCCCTTTCAGCCCCCATACACGCTCACATTTACGTACGCAACACTACACTTGTCCGGATATCAGTCAGGAGCTAAGAGCTCATGCGGACTGGGCCAGAAGATTTTGATTTATTTACCCCCCCCCCCAAAAAAAACCAGTAAAAACACTGTGTGGCGTATGGGGGAGAAGATTATTTGCGCACGTTTTCTTGAGTTCATCAATCCCTTACCGTCATTTTAACTATAAATAATTGAAAGGTAAGTACAAGTTTAAAATAAATAAATAAAAATAAATTTTAAAAATCACACGATTAGCAGTATTTGAAAAAAATAGACATTTTTGTTTCCAAGTTATAGAAAACTATTTTGCAGCGGTAAACGAATTGCAAGTATGATTTTTCTGCATTGCTAACAAAATAGTAACTAGCTCTTACCATTATAAGCAAAAGGAGAGTTCAACAAAACGTGCGGATAGTGAAGCTTACATTTACGTCGAGAGGCAAAACAAGGGGCCATCTCAGCATTTGCTCAATGGATCAGGGAAACTGGACAAAAGCCAGTTCAAAACCTAGCTGGCACATATATATGAAGAGGTAAACCCCGCAAGCCGACACTTAGGTTTTCGCCGGATCTTACGTTTCAAGGGAACAGGAACACCGCCCCACTGGCCGTCTATAACACGCACTACACTCACGGGACGCTTGGCCATCGTAGCCGAGGCGCCTCGGCGCTTCGCGGAGCAGCACTCACCTGCGTCAGCAAGCCCCGCCGCCGCGCACAGCAGCAGCGCCGCCGCCGCCGCCGTCGCCACCACCGACTTCATGGCCGCGCTGCCTCTCGCCCTCTCGGTCGCCTGCAACAGCGCAAGCAGCCGGGGATATCAGGACAGCTCCTCTACAGACTCTGGTTGCGATTACTGGTCAGTTTTGATTAACGTGAAAAGAAATTAAGTGCTTGAGAAAGATTGTGCAATATTATTTTACATTTAGTATAATTTAAATGAATCAATACCCATATAAGGTCACAATTAAATAAGAATTGAAGATAAATAAATGTATGTTTTGAACAACTACGTTCTGTTGAGACAAGTGTGTTGATTTGAATCTGAATATCCTAAATATAGCAAGTTCGAAAATTATTAGAAAGTGAATTTACTGAAATTTTCAGGTAAAGAATTTAAATGATCAAGTTGAAGGTCTGGAAGATAAATTTTGAGGTTGTTTATTAACAAATGTACTCAAGATAGGTGAATGAATTGTTTGACATTGACAAATGTACATGATAATTGATATTGATAAATGTATGATATTGACAAATGTACTCAAGATAGACGTTTTAGTCAAATAAACCAAGAGTTTCCGTTTTCAAAGACGACCAAAAGATGTAATACAGTAGTCCTAGACTAGTTAATTTTTTGGTACTAACTTTTGTTATTGATACTAATGCTATTGATTATTTATTTTTGTTTCGCGAATCAGCCATGACGAGGCCACGCGTTACGTACATCCCAATGAGGCTCAGACTTGATAATAGGGGTAGGTGCACGTTACTATTCTGAAGAGGGGAACCAGCATTTCAATGCTGATTTCATTTTTATACCCCTGGGTTGTTAGCCTGGAGGAAAACAATATGAGATTGTAATAAGTCAGTTATATTGAGAAGACACAGAACACTTCAATTTTTTTATGCAAATGAAAAAGTTAAATAAATACCGTTCACCTGCGCTACTAGTTTCCAAGTGAAGTTCTGGCTATTTGTCATTTTCGAGACGATATTGGCCCGGCGCGTGGTGCTGATGTAGAGAGAAATAGCCCTGTGGCGTTGGCGATCGATCGTCTTATTGTAGCCTGTTGCTTACGTCGCGGAATGCATTTGCATAAATTTGTGCCACCAGAACTGATGTTCTTCTTCGCGGGTTTCAAATGCGCATTTATTCTGAATGCGGCTGACGAAAAAAATGTGCTTAAAGAACATCAATCTTGCCGCTTAGCCATTCTGTGAACCTTCACATTACGTTTCAAGACCGTTCATCATGCATCTTAAATGCTTGTATTTTTCTTCATGAAAGTCGAAATGTAAATTTTTAAAAATTTATCTCTGAATTTATTTAGATTCCAAATGGCTCCAGTAAACAGTTCTGAGTATGCCTTGAGAGGAAAATAAACAAAGAACCTAAATCCAGTGTTTTATTTCCGGGTTAGCGAAAAGGAGCGTATCTACCTACTTTTTGAAGTAAGAAAAATTTTAATATATCATAATTTTGGGCCGATTATTTCATTTCACAAAATGGATGGCTTATGGCATTATCACATAACATTATATAAGTAATAAAATATAAAAAACGAGTAGATCGGCATCCGTATTATTCTAGAGAATCCAAGTTAACTTACTAAGTAATGTAAAGTCAGAGCTGCTGTATTTATTTTGCTAGAAATTAAGTACTCTGTAAATAAATTAAGAATAGCGTTGGCTTTGTTGTGAAAACAATGTCGGCGCAAAACAACGTAGGTGAAATAAAGTATTGTTTAAGAAAATCAACAATATCCAGGACACTCTTCGATAAACGCGTAAGTTGTTTATTGTCTTTTTTATATTTACCGCACAGATATATTAAATTCTATTTAAATTCTCATTTGAAGTTTTGAAATGTAATAAATAATTTTAAACACTCGTGAAAACTGATTACAATGAATAATTTATGTATTTGCCCGTACTGTGCCAGCTTCAATATTTGCCATTGCCGAAACTGTGAGCCCATCACCAGCTCATACAGTTTTTTCAAAGGAATTTACATTTGATGAAATGGAGTTAAGGACAATTCCCTTTGTATTACAAAGCTAACATTTCAAAACTACAAAATTGAAGATAGAGATTTTTGCCATAAACAATGCCTGTTGTAAAAATCAGCTGTTTACAAGGTCACTTACAATTTTTTGAAGAAACGAATAGTTTTCACGTAATCTGTACAGGAAATAAATGCAATTTATTAAAAAAAATATGAAAAACCCTTTAAAATAGTTTCTACGGGTGGAAGAAGGGACGCTTAAAGAAATGGCGCGGGCAATTTTCTTTGAATTCTTTGAATTTTTGAAAATGGCAAATTTGTAAATAGTGCAAGAAAGTGTGCTGTTGTAGAACCACTAGCTTTCATGTACTTTCCCTGCTTTAATAAAAAGCATGTTTTTTTTGTATTGAGTCTATATATTTCATTACATTGTACAACAGATAAGTTAATTTTTGACATGCTCGTCGATATACTTCACAACTAGTGGTGTTACAGAATCGCACAGACTCTCTCGTACTAATTGCTTTTCTTATTTCTTTGATCTGCGTTAGGTTTTAAGTACTGTCCCTGTCGCTTAAAAATATTTTTAAACGACAAAAGAACTATAGTAAATACATTCTATGCATTCTCTATATCCTTTCTCCTTTTTCCGAAATACAAATCATGATAATCATTAACACTTAATTCATTTATATGTTAAAAGATTTTCAACCATTTGCCTAATTTAATTTCAAATTATAATATATCCATTGGTGTGTATTTATAAATCCAAAGAAGCTCCCATTCTTGCATAGTTCATATAATAGTATATACTGTACGGGAAAGTGGAACATCAATTCTTGTCGAATATTAAAATCCAATTTTTAGGTTCCCGATCACCAAACATAAACGAATTTTCATGTTACCATATAATCACGAAAGATAATGTAATTTTTCAACAAGACAGCATCTTGAATGAAATCTAATTTTTTCATCATGTACTTAAGGATTGGTGAAAGTTGAAACGAGACTAAAAGAAACTTTACTAGTTCATCAAAAGCACATTGAAATGGTGACTTTTCTTCATTAAATACTATTCACTATTTATGAAAAAAATATTTCTTTTTCCACACTTGGAGCCCTTGTGTGACTTTGTCAACCCTCTTGAAATAATTTAAAAAATCAGGAGTGTTCTGGGATCCACGGGCAGCCAGTCATAATCTGTAGCCAGACCCCTAACCACTTTAATCTTTGCCATTGATTGACCAAAAATCCGAAACGTGTCGCACACTGTCAACAGGGTTTCCAACTCCAACTGAAACTCGCGCTGCTGTAGCCTCTCCGGGCGGCGGCCGCGGCCCACGGAGCGTGGAGCACTCGCAGAGAACACGCTCGCCCGGCGGTTGAGCGCGCGGGCGGGGCGGGCAGGCGCGGGCGGGGGCGGGAGAGCGAACGGGGCGCCCTTTGCCACGTCGGCGCGCCACTGCATTATTTTCAGATTACGTTTTAAAAAGGAACGTCCGCGCCGGGTTAAAATAGCGAGAAACGCGGACAAAAAGCCCCGGCCCGCTCCCGCCCTATAGGGTTAATGCTGGCCTCGATGCAAACGCCGCCCTCGCCGCGGCAGTGCCCGTTCACAAATTCCCCTGTCGATATTAGCCCAGTGGGGTCTTTGTCATCGCGCGGCGCGCGGGCACGTGGGAGGGGTTGGGCGGCGCGCGGCGAGCGGCGGGGATGACAGAGAGGGCGTGGTGGGGTGGCAGTGGGGCGGGTTGGGCAATGGCGGAAGCGGTGGTGGCGACAGAGGCAGTGGCAGCGGGCAGCGGCAGTGTTGGAGCGGGCGGTGATGGCGGAGGCGGAGGTGGCGGCGACAACAGCAGCGAGCGCGCGGTGGCGCGCCGTGGTTGCCTGGGGTGGTGGCGGCTATTGTGGCTTTGGAAGGGGGGAGTATTGTTAAATATGAAGGGAACTGGGAAGAGTGAGGAACAGAGAGAGAGAGAGAGAGAGAGTCTTGGGGAGATGGGAACTGTGATAGAGGCAGTCTGCAGAGATTGGATGATTGCACTTCAGAAGGTGGTGGCGGAGGAGTGTTGATACAGTGATAGCGTGCGAGGGTGTCTTTATGCAGAGAGCGTGTGGGAGTGTTTGAGCGCTGCCATAATGGATATTGTGGCGGGTAACGGAGTGGGTTGAAGCTGGAAATGAAAAAATTCCCGGGTAGGGAATATTGTGGTGAGTTGTGTCAGAGAAGCAATATTCGACTACACGAAGAGTCGTGAAGTTGAAGGGAGACGGTGTTCTGAATCAGGGTGAAGGAAATGGTTACTCTTACTTATACAATATATTCTTATTAAAATATCACGCTGTTCTTAATTAGTAATAATGTGATTAAGTGTTGCATAAAGGTTGGCACGTGAAACAGCATTTTCTATGCAAACTAACAAAACTCGTATATCACCTTTAATCGACCACAAGTAGTCAATTAGAGCTTCTGAACGTAATTACTTATAATTCTTTATTTGAAGTATGTAAAATTCTGAATGAATTCACTACCTCCAAAATTACATAATTTCAACAATTTCTACCATTATTGTTTAAAAAATACTCAACGCATCAATTTCATGCAAGAATTGGAAACAAACTGTGCGAGAATTATTGCATGAAAATATACTGCACGTGAGGAGGGAACAATGTCGAAGAAAAGTAGTTTCTTTGTTGTCGTTTGGATTTGGAAGTTTTCCCTGTCTTCGCTGATTTTATTCAGCAATTCTGTTGTATTCCAATAATATGGTTAGTTCTTTTATTTCTAGTTAAGAGAAAATTAACAAGTTATTCTTGGTATTTGAAACTATTATTTCCAACTTTGTTTGTCATTATCGAAAAAGAACAAGGAAATTCTTATATAACGTTTAATGTCAGTGAACAACCTACCCAAATGCTAAAACTTTTGTAACTAGGATGTTTTTCTTTGCGCATGGTCTAACGTGACAGACATTCGACAAACAAGACGGTATACAATTTCGACGCCTTGTGTCTTTCGCTAGGAATGGCAGTGAATGTCTCATTCATGCGGTAGCTGTGTCGGCGTA